GTCTCGTCCGAAGAGGTCAAATAGGTAGTAGCGTCTTAACTGCTTGGTCTCACAGAAAATTCCCAAAGAAATTGAAAATTTTTTATTTTTACCGGCCTGCTCTCTAGCGGCCCGATTCACACACCGACACCCAACCGCATTACTTTTCCAAAGCTAAGGTATGGAAATTAACTTGTCGACGGCGGACGATATTCTCAATCCTCGGTCACTGGGTGGGTAAAGGGAGGGTTTGATCTCTTCGGACGAGACAGTTCATATAATTTGGATCGATCATCACTTACAGGTAAGTTCGATCGATCATACAATTATATTTCGCTGTCTCGTCCTCGAGATCAAATAGGTAGCTGTTTAAAGTGTCGATAGTTAATTGAAATACACTCGTCATTTATTTATCCTTCGGAGATAGAATGACAAATACAATGTAGAACATAATAGTGGAGTGGAAACTCCAAGAAGCGTCTGAAGATGTGTAATAATGATTTAATTAAACGTTAGTCGTTTGTGTGATAACTCTAGAAGCAAACTCGGTGTCTTCTCTAATTGGTAATTTATAGAAATTTGCGAAGATACTCGACTGTCTTGACCAGCCAGCGGTTTCTCCAATAGCATCAATATTGAGGCATTTCTCACAGGCCGATGACGTAGCGGCATGTCTCGTGCTATGTGCCGAGATTTTTTTGGTGTCTATGCCACTAGCCTTTAGCGTGTCCTTGATCCATCTGCTGATTGATTGTCTTGTTGCGACATGATGCGGTTTTCTGTAGGTTAAGAAAAGAAAATCCTCCGCATTACTTCTTAGTGCTTTTGTTTTCTGGAGGTAGCATAGCAGGACTGATGCAACGCAGAGGGCTGGTTGCTCCGCGAAGAACGGTAGGGTTAATGCTATGTTTAATTTTTCCTCAGTTTTTCCTGAGGTTTTAGTCCTGTTTGTGATGGGAATCTTTATTTTGTCGTCTAGAACTTGGATGTTTGATAGTCTCATGAGTGATAGTGTTTGAACTCTCTGAGCAGTGGCCAGAGCTATCAAGGTGACCAATTTCCTTGTCAGCTTCTCCAGAGAGAGTTCTTCATTTGGGAACAAGTCGGTCAAGTATTCGATTACCATTTTGGGATCCCAGATCTGGGAATACTTAGAGACCTGTGGGTGAAGTACACTGGCACCCACTGATGTGTCTTTCTGCATGGGGAAAATAGTAGATTATTACTTGGGGAAAATACTAGCGGTTCCTCTACTAAAAGGCTCAGGAAACGAGGACACCAGCATTGATTTGGCCACTGTGGCACCACTAAGATACCTTCTGCTCTGTCTGTGATGAGCTTGTGTGAACAAAAATTGTTGGTGTTTTTGAGACCACACAGAAAAAACGTAATGACGGTTGGGTATCGGTGTATCAATCGGGCCGCTAGAGAGCAGGCCGGTAAAAATAAAAAATTTTCAATTTCTTTGGGAATTTTCTGTGAGACCAAGCAGCTAAGACGCTACTACCTATTTGATCTCGAGGACGAGACATCGAAATATAATTAATAGTTACCCCATAGCTGTTTTGGCTCATATTATTATTTTATAATTTTTCTTAGAACAGCATCAAGATAAGGAGAACAGTTTATATAAACAGCAATAGAGAGAGATGAATGAACAAGGGCCTTTTGTAAAATGGGCCCAGAGCGTGAAAACTTTGGTTGCTATGAGTCAGTAGAGTTGCAGGGATCATAGGAGAAAGATATACCTTCTGAGTACGTTTAATAAAAGTTAATATCTAAGCCCAATTACTTTTATTATTTACTAATTCCTGTCCATAATCCAATAATTTATACAAAAAAATGAATAATACAAATCTTTCGTTTTCTTCAAGCTATAGATGTACTTGAAATTTCATCTCCATTATTTATCGAGTTATCGGATACACAAGATTCTTCACTGAAAAACGGAGAAGGGTAATATCTTAAAATTTTCTCCAACAGATATACATGTTTTGATTGGGAATTAAGATGGTGTTTTTTTTTATATTCAGGCCCATTCTGTCCTTTATTCGCTAATTGCCCTATCCCACCCTATGCATGCAGCTGTGGATCCTACCACTGTACCATATTCTCCATTTGGAATCAACATGAGAGAATGGAAAAATCGTTGGAATACACAGCTTCGAGAGAATACAACGATTCGCAGGAAAAAATACTGGAAAACATCGCGATTGCCTTGACATCGGTGAAAGGCTCAAGCCCCTCTGGACATCGAGGAAATCTTCGATGAAATGAATCAAAGCCCCGATTATCTCAAGACAGAACAGTTCCAATATCCAATACCAAAAACATGGATCGCATATTTCAACTTTAGCATCAAAGCAAGGCCACATAGAATCCGAAATATTATTGCGATGTACATTGAAACCTTTGAATTAACTCTCGTGAAGTGCTCGATAATCTGTGATAAAAAAAAAACTTATTTAGATAACGATTGGCCCAACACGCGGAATTAATTTCCGCTTACAATGGGATGGGCACACCGGAAATGACTGTTTGTTTTTTTCTTTGAAATATTTACCTTTGTTGGGGACTTTATAAACGTGACTAATTTATTCTCAAATAGACAAAATTGATGTCATATTCGACCAATTACTAAATGAGATACTTCCTTATCACTTGTTACGCTTGGAGTATTGGTTTAATACTGTTCTTGTAAAGGTGATACATTTTTTCGCGGTGATGTCATCAGTGTGAGTTGGAGAATCAGAATTTCCAGAATAGTAGTAGAAAAATCTTTGTGATTTTTGGAGGCATTCTCCAGGTTAATTATGCTGCAGTCAATCTGCTTCATGAATGTTATGAATAGTTCAGGATTGAATGTCCTGACAGATGATTTATAATTTTTTCCGCGGTGTAAATAACCTTAAGTATGATGCATTATCCGCTCGCTTTACATTATCATCTGAAAAGA